GGCAATAAGTGGTGCCAAGGGGTTGGCGCGAGCGGGCAATAAATGGTGCGGCGGCTCGGCGCCATCGGGCAATAAGTGGTGCCAAGGGGTTGGCGCGATCGTAAGTGGTGCCAAGGTTGGTGCGACGGGGCAATAAGTGGTTAGGCGGGTCGGCGCGATCGGGCTTTATGGGTAATGAGGTGGCCGACTTTCTGGCTGCACCTGCTCGGGCTGCCCCGAGGGATGACGAGGAGCCTGCCCCTGTGCAGCCGGGCCCGGTCCTGAGTGAGGAGAGTCCCCGGGCAAGTGGTACCAAGGGTTGGCGCGATCGAGCAGAAGTGGTGTCAAGGGCTTGGCATGGGTTGGCGCAATGGAGCCAAAAACCTAAACCGTTTAGCATTTAGGGATCTAGTGTATAGCCCATGTCGGACAATGGTCCGTCACTCACCGAAAGCAAGCTGAGCGTGACGCCTTCAGTGTGAGCGACTTTCATCTAGAGGCAGTTCAAAGTGAATCATCCTAGTAAGAAGTCTGCAGTCTCAAGTTTTCTTAAGTGAACATGCTACACATGGGTCTGAATCGCGAAGAACGCTGCTAAACTGCGACATGACAGAAATACGATCATATCTGTTGTGGGTTTAGGGTTTCCAATGGTGTGGCATAAGGGGGCTCTCTCGGCAGGGTGAGACCGTTTCCCGAGCTCCGCGCGAAACCAAGGGCAAGCCTGTCCTGCGGCCCTTTTTGAGTTGTAAAGGGCTTTGAGTTTGCCTGTAGGATTTGCACGGGTTTAGGGCACGACTCTGGAATGCTTTGAAGCTTGAACCGTGCGCCGCCTTTAGGGGTGGCATGTGCCCTTTGTTGTTCAGGCGGCGCATGCAATACAGGCGCCCTCCAAGTTCATTCAATTGCACGGAGCCCCAGACAATAATAAAGCGAAGGAAGCGCGGCAACTGCCTGCAGCTGCCTTCAGAGCCCTGCCACTCCACACTTGGATGGAGACGGCTCTCTGAAGTGCTTTCTTTTGGCGGGTTTGGGATTCTTAGGGTTCAGTGAGAGCTAATAACGCCTAGCACTTCCTTTTTTGTGAACTAAAGGCTCAACTCTGCGCTGTCAAGTTAGGTGGGCACTTTTGGCGCCTCACCGTCTTGGTGGCAGGTTGCATGGAACTCATCCAAAGCCCGAAAGAGCAGACCCACGACTTCCTCAGATAGGTTCTGGGTTTTAGGGCTTCTTCGGGGTTCTCTCATGACTCAATGACCTCATATTTGCGATAATGTCTGTGGATTGACCAGTGTGTTATGATGTCTCATGGTTCATAAAACTAGTTTTCCAACAAGGGTCCTCTTGATGGCAGGAGGACAGCACGTGAGCATCGTAGATATCAGACCTCCAAGCAGGGCGAAGTCAACCCTTGTCAGACTAAATTACGATGCAGGTAGTACCCGAAAGCCGAAAGCCCGAAGCCTAAGCATCTCGGAACCCTAGGCTTAAGCTTCAGCCTTCCAGTACCGCGGATGAAGGCTTAGATTGCACGTACAGAACCTCCCGCCTGCTTTCGTGCGCACTCATGTTCACAACGAAGAGGCGCCGCTCACTGAGATCCAACCTCTGAAACTCCTCGTGCCACTCTGAGCCGAGAAACACAACGAAGGGCTTGTCCTCGTCATAGCGCTTCACGAAATAACCCAGTCATAAACTAGCAGCATTTTATATAACATGCTTTCAACTATAAACGGATTCTCAAAGAGCATTGCCTGTCCTGGTTGTACCTCTGAGAATTGAACAGAACCATCCTGAAATGTCTGCGTTCCGAAATCTCGATAGGGTCATGGATGCCGAGCCTTCGGGCGTGAGATGAAAAGATAAATCGCTCATAGTCATACCCCCCGGCTACCAGGACGTCAATCTTGTCCTTGAAGGGTCGACGCATTCCGAGGGCCTTGGCGACTCGGGTATCTTCCTGGCTGCTCGCACTGCTGTTGGAGCGAGAAGTCAAGCAAGACGATTCCGTGGCGCTCGGTCCGGAAGACATAGCTTCAGCTTCCCTCTGCTACAGCTTGCTATGCTTGAACCAAAACCCACACTTCGTGGCAGGGTAGAGATTTCGGAAGTCTGCACATAGTGTCATAAGTCATGAGCTGAACTGCGCATCAAACTTCAGTGGCGGTTGCTCAAAACGAGCTTCCCACAATTGATTACTTGATTGTCGGAAGGACTAAGGGGTCATAACCACTGCTCCCCTGCGAGGCCGCGCAGCCGGCAACATGATCCAGCCACAAGGCCCTGTGCTCGTCTAGAAGCACCCCGAATCCCAAAACTTCCCTAAACCCCAAAACCCTGACAGAACCGACAATGGCAAACGGACACCGAGTCTTGACAGTCCGGAAGGCCAAGGTTTTCAGCAAATTTGAGCTGTGCAGTGCAGGATCTAGGGTTACCTCATCGTTGAGCTGTCCTAGTCAAGCCCGGTCCTCTTCTTTCATAAACGCACGTGCAATGACACACAAAGTCAACACCATGTTCTTTGGGGGCTCAGACTTCTCCTGAACCAAATAAACGGCTGGCCTCCTTTGTGAGACTCTGGAAACCCGCGCCACTATGTGGATGCTTCTGTAACTAAGAGTCCGGCGGAGGCCTCACCAGGGGGACCTGGATTGAGTGCTATTTAGGACGGAAGGGGCATTAGGAAGGCTGGGCCCAGCATCGACAGATCAATTGGCCAAATGTCGGACACAAAGCTCTCCTGAATCTCTCCGGGAATCTTCGCCAGTGTTTAAATGTCTTAAAACCTTCATGCAAAGCAGCTTGCCTGGTGGCAAGTGCAGCGGCTCTGTCCCTTTCTCCTTAGATGCTCTTAGGCTCTGTGGTAAGAACTGACTGTCAGGCGAAGAAGAGGGCGAAGCAAAAGGGAAATCGCAAAGATGTGAATGTAAGAGTCAAGTGTTGGCTCCATGCATGTTTGTGATGGAGAACTTGTGCCTGCTGACAGCCCAGCCGCCCGATCCTCTGGGATCGGGGACAAATTCTCGATGGACACCTGGGCAGTGAATTGAGTGGACCGCCTCGTGGCATTTCGGGCAACGAGGTCTAGGTGAAGGTCTGATTCGGCTCTTATAGTAGTGCGGAACTTGAGCAGCTCAGAACGCAACAAATACATGTCTCCACGAAGCAAGAGCTGTGCAAAGGCCATTGTGACCCACGTGATCCGGCTTGAGATATGTAGAAGTATACGACAGTCGGACCAACACAAGCCTAGATTTCGACACGAACGGAATCGGAGACTACATGCAACACCCAAGGCCTCCGCGACGTCACGAGCCAGGAGCCTCCCGCCCACCCTTGCGAGGCCCTCGCCCGGGAAAATTCGCGCGTCGGACACTCCTTGGCCATGGGCTCGGCCTGAACCAAAGGTTGGGAGCTTATGGTTTGTCGGGTTGAGAGAAGGTTTGGAAGGAGCTTGGGCTTTTCGATGGCTCTGTTTAAATGTGTGTGTGTGTGTCTATCTCTGTCTGTGTGTGCGTGGCACGAGGTGCTCGCATGCTTGTAAAGGTCATGATGCTACCTACAGCGGTTTTTCTTTTGACAGGAAATAGGTTTCAAACTGAATGGTTCCTGCATCATCCTTTTCACCCCTTACAGTCTTGAATTCGTGAAGCTAAAACCGCAACCTAGAAACCTGAGCAATGCCTTTCTCTTGATGTTTCTGGCCTTCTTCTCAGGCAGCCCGCCTTTCTCCGTCTCCTCCTGGTTGGGCCCGGCTGGGTTTAGGCTCGAACTGGGCTTCTGTAAGATTTCGGGGCTAGAGGTGCAATGTTTGGGGTCTCGACTGGTGATTCAGCGCCCGACAAGAGTCTACAAGCTGTATGACAGTATGAAAGACCCGTATATTCTATATATGCATGCAGAAACGCTCCACCATGAGCTGAAACGTTTCTAGCCTGCTCGGAGGAGGAAAGGGCACTGGCCGCAACTGCAGCAATCACCTCATCGCAGCGGCAAGCTGAAGCTTTTGTCCGACACAGGCTTGAGTCGAGGGTAGGGATCATAAGGGTTTTGTGTTGCTTTAACACAAGAGCTTGTCGGTTGCCTGGATGTCGGGTGTGGGTTTGCTTCTTCGGTTGGCTGTTCTGATTTATCGGAGCAGCAAGCAAACTCTGTTCTGGCTTCGGCAACAGGATATCCCACAAGCCAGCTTGCCAGAGAAGCTCGCGAAGGCTATCAGACGCCCGAATCTCTGTGACGTGCGCCGCCAGTGGAAGCCGCTGAAACGGTGTCGAGCTGAAAATGCTCTGCTTGCCGAAGCGACTAGCTCGGGGATGAAGGGGGAAGCATGAGGGAACCAACAACAAATCCTGGACGATGTCGGCAAATGGATCAGATGGAGGTTGGGCTTTGCATTTGGATGGCGGGTTGCACCTGTCTCC